CTCTCACACACGCACACACACGCGCACACGTGCACACCCAAACCCTTTTGCCGCCGCATCCTCCCCTCACCGTGCTCCTGATCCGCAGCGCACCCGGACCGCTGAGCCGCACACTTCGCCACACGTGGAGATGGTGTTTTACATGCGGTTCAAGTGCCCGTACGAAGTGGTCGGGTGAGCGTGGGCCTATGTGTCTGGTAAATGACAAACTACTTGCACATGTGGGGCCTACACCGCGTTTGTGGCATGAGTGCAGCGGCTCCGCCTACCTTGGGCTTGTCTTGTCCGGTGCAAGAAGGCAAAGCACACTGTTGGCGATGATGATTGGGGTGGGTGTTCAGCGTGCACGCCGCACGCGCCCTTGCACCTAGGTGCCCCATGACGGTGCTGCTGGGCCTGCCACGCGTCGACGCCAACTCGGACTCGGGTGGGCTGGTGGCGTACTTCTATGGTGGCATGTGCCTACACCCGTACAAGGCGCCGGCCATCGGGCAGCTCCGAGGCGTCAACCGCACCAAAGCGGTTGCTGCTGCTGAAGGTATTCGGGGCGCATGCGGGCTGAAGGGCGGGGCTGGGTGCCTGCACGGCTCATCCGCAATGAGGTGCAGATGCCATGCGACCCAATCATGACGCGCAATTAGGGCCGCTATGTTGCAAGGTGGTGGGGTTCTAGCTGACACTACACATGGGCCTTGGTGCATGCGCATGCTCATGGCGTTGCACTCATCAATGCAGCCTTCTTTCTCTGTTCTGGCCTGCACGTCACCACTTCACCACTGACCCCGCCACGCAGGCAAGGGGACCAAGATGAGCCACCAAGAGATGCTGGTGTCGCGCCCCGGTGATCAGCAGATGACTGCCAACGTCTCGGCCTGTGGGGTGAATGCCAATGTCCTTGCGCAGGTGCGGCCGCTCGGGGCTGACAGCAGAGTGGTTTAGGCCGGTGCACCTGGGTGCCTAGACATGGTGCGCAACACCTGGTCCGTCAGTTCCCACGCGTGCACGGCTCAGCGGCGGGTGCCTTTATTGCCCGTGGTGAAATTGACTCTGCCAAGCGACGCTGTGCCTGTGCGGAGAGCCGCACCCCACTTGACAACACGCAGCAACGCTTGTGGCGATCCCGTTGCTTGCCTGCAGGCGCGCCGCGAGGCGAACAGCAAGAAGTGGCGCTATGATCTCCCCCCCCTTGAGGCCCTGCGGCAGCTTGCGATGCGGGAGAAGCAGCAGGATGCCGTGACGCTGGGGGAGCTGGGTGTTGCGAAGGGGCGGGTCCTTGGTGTTGTGGACAGCATCACCCACATGACTGACGGTGCTGTGGTGGTCGTCATTGCTGATGAGGCTGTGTGGATGTACAGCCAGCTGCGCAACCAGGGGCTCGCCAACAAGGTGCTGGTGGATTTTTGCGATTCAAAGGTGCGACGGCATGCCGCTTGCAGGGTGGTGCGCCTGTGGGTGCGTCTTGTTGCCTCGGCCTGAATGCGACATGGGATGCGGTCAATAACCCTTGGCTCGTACCCCCCACAAGGCAGAGCCCCGCCGCATGACCCCCCCCCTTCAACGCAAATGGTATGCGCCTGACCTTTGCACCTGACCCGTGCATTTGGCTAGGTCCAGGACACCGACGGCCGGAAGTTCATGACGTTTGTGGCCATGATCGATAACCCGGCAGCGGAGACTTTGAGCGCGCATCGCCCGCGCCCCATTGAGCTCTTCCGCGTTGTGACTCAGGTGCACACAACCCAGGGCGTGCGCGCCGGCCTGCAGCGCTTTTTGATCGCAATGGAGAGACACTTGCCCAAGGACTGCATTGCAGGTGCACGCGGACCGCAATTACGACCCCCATTTAGATGCACAGCCCACAGGCGCCCACACGCTATGCATCAGGACCGTTGAGGAGGGCGGCGATGCGCGCCAAACTTGAGTCGCATCCCTCAACGACCACACGGGCGCCTGTGTCCGCACCCTGCAGCCCCACCACCTACTACATCTGTACCGCCGCTTTATGCAAACAGGAGAGGGCAGCCCCACTGACCTCCCCGCAGCGCTGGCTCAGGTGGTGGCAACGCACATTGGAACGGGCAGCGCACCCAAAGGGCGGCTTCACCGGCCTCCAACCGCGCTCAGACAAGAACTGCACACAGTGTTTGGCTGTACAAAAGAACGGTACTCTGACGCCCTCACCGTCCTGCCAAGCACTATCGAGTACTGGAGCGCACACGCGCCTGACGCGCCGTTTGGGGCACGAATGGTTGCGCACAGCGTCCTCTGGACAGGTGCATCAATGAGTATTCCCCCGGCCACACCACAAGCAGCGCAAAGGGCCGTCCGATGGTCCCTCCACT